TTTGGAGTGTATCGCTTTAAATGCAAATGAGCTGCATATTCCTGCCCCATCTCCAGAAGAGGGCGTCACGTATACGTCTCTCTTCATTGCATATCTACAGCAATAAACAGCCGGTAGAAGCAACATAACTGAGAGCGAGAGAACCGGTGTTCAGCCGTACATATGGGAAGTCAAATGCACTGAAAGTGGAACGAAACAGCGCGATGTTCCAGAGCTCGCGCCGTGCTGATCTGTCATCAGCACGGATCAATTGACTGAGCTGCACTATGAACGGCGCAAACTAATCTCACAAGTGCGCCGCTGATCAGTTAAAAAAATACTTAATGTACGCACACAAATACGGTTAAAACACTAAGCACTATAACAACATGACATTCACAAAGGAGTCTGGAGTGATAAACGTATTTAGATAGATTTTGAGGCGCATTACCTTGAAAAATGAAAGTAAACCACTGCGTCCTCAGCAGCTCACATGTTGGGAGAAAATGAGAACTGTTATGTTCATTCTTAGATGCAAACACAGAGCATTGGGATTGCTTGCAAGATGTTGACGTTACAGCTGCTCGAGTGCGGAGAATATGGAGGACAGCGTACAACCGCTGAGGGCGGAAACTAGCAATGCAGAGCTGTCAATCAACCCCCGTAGCCCCGCCCCTACGCAATGTGACGTCACACTGCGTGAGAATCAAAACGGCAGGCCTAGTGAGACTGATTTGGTTTAAAGGGGATTAAAAAATGAGGAGTGGGTGGATTTTTATCATTGTAGGGTGGTTGTGTTCACACACTGCCAACACACATTTATGTCCAAACCCCATGTAAAAGTGGATTTTGCATAATAGGTGCCCTTCAAATAATACAGATTTGTATATTAGAAACAAATCCTAGATCTTCTCTTTCTCTTCGTCTCTTTTAGATTAACAGGATGGGTGTTGTTGAAATTGTTTAATGGATTCTTCTGGAGCATTCAGATCCATAAAGGTCAGCTGGAGATGGTGAAGAAAGCTGCATCTGAGGTCAGACATCTACATCCCGCCCAATATGGGCATTTCTTCTTATCTACACTACCACACATATTGTAACTACTCCCAAAACAGCCACAGATAAAACCAACAGTTGACAAACTCACTTATTACAAGAAGATATACAAATAAACAGTTCATTAACAAGCAATGTCTATCCACCACCTTTTTTATGTATATTTAATGTAATATAATGTGTGGACAATTACAGGTGTAAAGAGTTATCTTGAAGTATAACAAACATTTTATTGTGTGTCTTCCAGTACAATGTTCCCCTGGTCTTCCTGCCTGTTCACAAGTCCCACATAGACTACCTGCTCATCACCTTCATCCTGTTCTGTCACAACATCAAAGCCCCTCACATCGCAGCCGGCAACAACCTTAACATCCCCATCTTAAGGTACAAAGTCATGATGATCTTGTCATTATTTTTTTAAAGATATATAGTATTTCGACAATAGACAGGCAAACTGATATTTGAATATAACACTGGTATGTATACGTTGTACTTCCTCAGCACTCTAATACGGAAACTCGGAGGATTTTTTATTCGTCGTAAACTGGATGAGACTTCAGATGGGAAGAAGGATGTGTTATACAGATCACTGTTACATGCAGTAAGTCCACAGAGATTTCAGATCAACATGTTTGTATAGTGGTGTTACGTTTTAAAGTTTCAAAGCAGATTTACAGGAAGTTGTACCTTAACATCCTAAAGCCCACGGTGAAAACATGGCAAGGAAACTACCGAAGATTTTAGGTAGTGAAGGGAAAAAACCTTCAGGGGAACCAACTCCTCCGCTCTTACTAGAAGTGCACATACATTACTGTTCAAAAGTTTTGGGTCAAACCTTTGGTACTTGCTCTCTATTTCAGAGAAAATGGCTTGGAGTTTCAGTTTGGCTACTTTGCAAATAAAAAAAAGTGTGCATGTAGTAACTGCGTGTGGTAGGATTAGGGCTGCCCCCTAATAGTCGACCAGAAGACCTTAGTCGATCAAAATTTCACTTAATCGCAGAAAAAAAGATTCCACAGGAAGTGGCGAAGTCATGCAGTTCGTGACGGACAGATTATTAACAGCTGGTCTGTGTGGTAATTACAGTACATTGGTCAGGACACGCAAACTTTCATTACGATCATTAACCTAAAATGTGGCTTATCATCTGAAACATGTAAGTAGCAGCAACATTACATAGCTGCTCCCTCTAACATGAACCTAGAAAAATGTGCGCTATTCAAGTGTTTATGCAGAGTGTGGAAGCTGAACATTTTTGAATTCCATCATTTTTGCTCATAGAGATAAGAGTAATACATCTTTCAAATCTGTAAAAGGTCTACTTTCATTTGTGTGCACTCACAACAAACATAACAAAACGTTGTGCTTTGTAAAATAATAAAAGCAAAGAGGGTGCGCTTTCTGCCATCTAGGTCTCTGTGAACTTGGAGTGCATCAAAAAAAAACATTTAACCATAACTCTGTTTGCCTTACAGATATGAAAAATATATCTATAGAAAATGTCTACTTTTAAAATAACTAATTCAAATGGAAAATAAATACTTTAAGATTATGTAATCTGTATGAAATGTGCACGTCCACTGCAGAAAATACAGAAAACACGTATCAATGGATTATTATAAAGTTAAGGCAGTCGTCTTGCTGTTTTTTTTCCTGACACATTCATAATCATTATTTCTGACGGTGTACTTTATGCGTGCGCTTGAGCGCTGATAGGCTATAGGCAATTAAAGGCTCATTAATTATATTTATCCTGTTTATTAATATAAACGTGCGTTTAGTTGACTAATCGCTTAAAATGAACGTCTACTAGTCGACCAGAAAAATCTTTAGTCGATGGGCAGCCCTAGGTAGGATATTATCTTGTGAGCGACAGGAAACTGGAGCAGCTGTAATATGGTCTGTTGTAGTGCTTTTGTTAAAGTGACATGGTGATTGTCATTGCAGAGACTGTAGAGAGGCTTGTGATTAGAGGTGGCTGTCACAGGAAGCTGATGGATTACTCCTGCATTATTCATGCTGTCTCCTGTTGAGCACCACATTACCACAATGGGCTGCTTTAATTACAGGGAATTTGCAAAGGGAGGGTCATGGATCTTAAGGATTGTAATATTCGTGGTGGGTTATTCTTCTGTTTCCCTCTCAATTTCAGTACACGGAAGAGTTGTTGCGGCAGCAGCAGTTTTTGGAGGTGTATTTAGAGGGCACACGCTCTCGCAGCGGGAAGCCGTCTCCAGCACGTGCGGGCATGCTCTCAATCGTGGTTGACGTACTCTGTGTCAACAGCATCCCTGATGTTCTGATCGTGCCTGTAGGCATCTCTTATGACCGCATTATAGAGGGAAACTACAACAGCGAGCAGCTGGTATGTGGGGATATCCAACAGGAAGTTGATATTAAGTTCACTCATATTGTCACTCAAAGTTTCTTGAATCAAAAACAGACACTCTGACCCGTAGAATTATATATTATATTATATTATATTATATTATATAGAATTGTATATTATATAAAAAAAATGTTTTGTGTTCCATAAAAGATTAGTTGATGGCAGTTTTTTATTTATTTTTTTTTCTCTCCAATTTTTATGTAACTAACTTTTTGTGTTCCATAAAAGATTATGGTGTTTTTATTTTAGCGTGATTTTTATTTATTTATTTATTTTTTAATCCTTTGCAACTTTACAGATCTTCTTTATGCACCAAGAGCTTGTAACACTCCAAAGAGAAAGGAAAAATTGAAATCGCATCATATGACCCCTTTAATTATATAAAGACTATATTAAAAAAATATATATTTTATGGAACATGGAACACGCACAGGTTTTTTTAACAAACCATTAAATACGACTTTTGCCCTTAATAACCTTCTAATTGGCTGTTTATTAATAGTTAGTAATGTAGTTGTTAAGTTTAGGTATTGGGTAGGATTAGGGATGTAGAATATGGTCATGCATGCAGAATATGGCTTTATAAGTACTAATAAACAGTCAATATGTAATAATAGGCATGCTAATAAGCATCTAGTTAATAGTGAGAATGGGTCCCTATACTAAAGTGTTACCATGTATTTTTTTTATTATTCTATTCAAATTCTATCATCGGTCTTTGCTTAATGTTCCCGCTGTTCTCCTCACTTCAGGGCAAACCTAAGAAGAATGAGAGTCTATGGGGAATTGCCTGTGGCGTGTTCAGGATGCTCCGGAAGAATTACGGCTGTGTGCGTGTGGATTTCACACAGCCTTTCTCCCTTAAGGTCAGAGGAGCTCATCTGATCTCAGATTGGCTGAATACATAGCGGATCTCTCCCCTGATGCCTGGATCTTTCTTCTCCATTTCTTTAGGAATACCTAGACACACAGCGCAGTCGCCATCTCCAGACCTCTCTCACACTGGAGCAGATCCTTCTCCCCACCATCGTCGCTGCACAGTATGGCCTTTAGACTGCCAGCAACCAACATAATCATGTGGACTGCTGTTTATTGGTATGTAGAAAGATGTGTGTGGCTAATGGGATTATGTTCAATTATGTTTTTTCTTTGCAGACCTGATCAGGCTGTTTTTAATGGAGAAGATGAGGATCATCTGAATTCTAGAGACCTGTCAGATGAGCCCTGGAGGAGGCAGGTCATCGCTAACCTGGCCAAGCACGTTCTCTTCAGTAAGGGCACTTAAAAGGCCATGATACATGAATAGTTTCTTAGGCAGTGGGTGATTTTTGAAGCATTGACGGTGGTGGATTGGGTAAAATCGCTGTTTATGTGGGGTCAGCAATTGTAAAATGAAAAATGGCAGTGCTGCTCATCTCTCACCTGTCTGGAAAACTTGCTTGTATATCATGGCCTACAGAATCACTGACATACAAACTAAAAATCTGAATACATGGGCTCATTGTTCAGATCAAATAGATGCAAAAAGAGTCTTTCTAACATCATAATTGCCAAAGAAAACCAAAGCCTCTTATCAAACAACTAGTGAGTGAATTTAACAAAGCTTTACAAGAACATGTCTGAATTTAATATTTCACAAAATAGATATAAGAAAATCACATTTTAGGACCTGTTAGCATTTTTATGAAAATCAATGTACATTTTCCCCACATTTTTTTTCTCATTATTCTCAATGATTCCTGTTATATTCTCATTACTGTAATGCAGTAATGAGAATCAATATGTCAGACACTTAAAAAAATATATACAGCAAAATGTATAAATACAATTTAAATATGTTGTTTTGTTGCGTTACCTTTATTAAAATACTGTGTTAAAATATAATACCATTTATTTAATCATCGTATTTTCATTATTGGTCATGGAATTTTCTTTAATTGTCTTTGCAAAAAAAAAAAATATATATATATACATACTGTACATATATACACCGCGTGCATAATTATTAGGCACGTTGATATTCTGATGATATTTTTTTCCCAAGTACATTTTACCAATTCCAAACCATATCCATCTTAATAACTACTATTTATTTTGTATTTAATCATTTATAAGTGATATATAATTGTCCATGAAGGCTGGAAGTGAAAACTCCTTATGTTCAGGTGTGCAGAATTATTTGGCATGTTTTCTTTTACAGATAAAATGAGCCAAAAAAGAGATTTAACTCAAACTTAAAGTCAAAAATTATTAAATCCCCATGAGAAATATTGAAAACTAATGCAATACAGAAATTGCAAAGTTAAGATGTGACCATTGGACAGCAAAATGCTCATTGGGTCAGCGGGGTCAGAAAAAAGCAGGTTGAGAAGAAAAGACACGTGTTAACTGCAAAATAATTAAGAATTAATGTGAAGAATTAGAACTGCAAACTTGAGTTTCCAGAAGTACAGGTGTCATTTTCTCAGAGACTTTGCTTGGGTAAAAAATCTTAATAAATTACCCTCACTTAATAAGAATAACATGCTGAAGTATTGTGAAATACATTAAGACTGATTATTTATAGGCTTTATGGACATATAAGGACCAGCATCACATCCTCTTGTACCACTGTTTGAAGAATTTATCTTCCAGAATCTGCCAGTAAGTTTTAGGAGCTTACAAACCTCTTTTTTGGCTCATTTTTTTGGCTCATTTTATCTGTAAAAGAAAACATGCCTAATAATTCGGCACACCTGAATATAAGGAGTTTTTCCACTTCCAGTCTTCATGGACAATTATATATCACTTATAAATGATTAAATACAAAATCAATAGTAGTTATTAAGATTGATGTGGTTTGGAATTGGTAAAATGTGCTTGGAAAAAAATATAATCAGAATATCAACGTGCCTAATAATTATGTACGTGGCGTGTGTGTATATATATATATAATTAGTGCTGTCAAACGATTAATCGCATCCAAAATAAGTTTTTATTTACATAATATATCTGTGTGTACTGTGTATTTATTATGTATATATAAATACACATACATACAGGATATATTTTGAAAATATTTACATGTCTATATTTCATATAATTTATATTATATATAAATATACTTAATATATAAACACAGCATATTTATCTGAAATAAATACATGCATGTGTGTGTATTTATATATACATATTAAATATACACAGTACAAATATGGTGAAATATGCTTCAGACACGTTCTTTCTATCCATAGCTGACAGTTTATGTAGGTTACTTCTGGTCACAGTCTTTACCATGGTGATGTGTTGCTTTTGGCCAGTCACTTTCCTCAGTTTTTGAATGCCCTGTTGTTGCTACTTTTTTGAGAACAGGAGGTCAGAGGATCGGCAATCTGAGGTGGAATTGCAGCTTTTGAATGTTTAATATAGACACTGTCATGAACCCGGTTTTCAGCTCCAAAGTCACCCTGTTTTTCTTCATACAGCATATTTCAGATACTTTCAGATGTTTTTAGGCTCACAGACAATGTCATGGAGTTTGTAGATCATGCAGTTATGAATTTAAATAGTGTTCTTTCATTTCCCTTCATCAGAGAATTTAAGGGTGAAGTGTACAATTTCTATGGAAATTAGAAAAATGAGGACCGTTTGAGAGACAGGATTTATTATTGCCTTCTGTGTTTTCTATAGCCGCCAGCAAGTCATCAGCAATAATGTCCACTCATATCGTGGCCTGTCTCCTCCTGTATCGGCACAGACAGGTAAGTACCATCCTCACTTCCTATGCAGCACACATCATGGCAACCCTTCTTTCTTCGGTCCATTTTATTGGTTTATAATCATTGTAACAAACGTTTGTGATGGGACAGGGTGTACTGCTGTCTAAACTGGTGGAGGATTTCTTCAATATGAAGGAAGAGATCTTGTCACGGGACTTCGACCTGGGTTTTTCTGGGAACTCAGAGGACGTGGTCATGCATGCGCTCAGCCTTCTGGGAAACTGTGTGAATGTCACCAGCACCAACAGAAACACAGAGTTCATCATCGCCCCTAGCAACACTGTACCTGCACTCTTTGAGCTCAGTTTCTACAGCAACGGCCTTTTCCATGTCTTCATTGCTGATGCCATTATAGGTATAAGATCTAAGATCCCACAAGTCGTAATTTTAAATATCTTTATAACTAATTTATATATGTATGTTTGTATTTGAAATGTCAATTCAGTTCTGTCTAAAAATATTGTTTCACTGGTATTGGTTTTAGCAACTGAGGTTTTATTATTAAGACCCTAGTACACATACGCGCTAGGAGTGGGAGATATGACCAAAATCTTATGTCACTATATGAGTAATAATTGTATTTCATGGTAACAATATATCTCACTATATTGTTATTTTTGCTTTAAATAAGGCTTTTATGATATCAAATTTTTGATACCATAGAAATTTCATAATTCTTGTCATCTGTGTCAATATCACAAAAAAAATTTATACTAGCCTAAATAAAAAAAAAATAAAAAAAACCTCAAGCTCACTTAAGACAAGTAAACAGTCAACGATTAAATAAGAATAAGAAACTGATTACAAGCAATATGACAAAAAACTACAGTAGAACAAATAAATAAGAAATGCTACATATATTGTATAAAGTAAGCAAATATTCAAAAACACTGCATATTCTTCACTGTGTAAATTTACATTTACATTTAGTCATTTAGCAGACGCTTTTATCCAAAGCGACTTACAAATGAGGACAATAAAAGCAGTCAAAACTAACAAAAGAGCAACAGTATATAAGTGCAAATGACAAGTCTCGGTTAGCCTAACGCAGTACACGTAGCAAGGTGTGTGTGTATATATATATATATATATATATATAATTAAATATATATTTCTTCTTTTTAAAGTTGCAAAAGTGATTTAGTCAAGAGCTGTGAGAGATTTTCTCTCTTTTGTTGTTTGATGAACATGAATGAAACAGCGGGAATATTAGACTGCTGTCAATTTAAGAGCTGCCCGGATCCATTATACAGTTACACGTTTTCTTTCTTAGTTGTTTGCTTTCACTTAAGACCTAAATTACTGTGTTTACGAGGATACTTGCAAAGACGGGCACTTTGACACATACAAGTGTGTATTTAACCATTCAAGTGGTAAAAAAGAACTCCATATGCCCGCGCTCTATGGGCTCCGTCTTCAAGTGCACGTGCTTCTCTGACAGTGCTCAGAAACAGTCTCTCAGACATTGTGCATATAACAAAATGAGTTCTGTTTTGCTGCTGATTGCATTTCAACGGCTTAAAATCACTTGTTTTTAAACCGCAAAAATCTTCTCTACTAGTTAATCTTGTCTACTGGTATATCGCCGACCCCTAATACACACACACACACATTGGATGCATAAAGAATTTTACAAAGACTGATTACTGTTACTGATTACATATTTCTTGTCAAAAATTGTACTTGGTAATGTAATCTGTAATGTAATCTGAACTATTTAAGAATGACAATCTCTACGTGTACTGTAACTGTATGCATATGTATGTGTGTTAGCTTGCAGCGCGCTGGCCCTGCTGAGAGAGCAATCTGCAACTTCAGTGAGTGAGCAGAATTCTTCATCCACGCTGCTCAGCCAGGAGAGACTGATCCGCAGAGCTGCAGGCCTCTCCCACTTTCTGTCCAATGAGGTGGCAGTAGCGCTGGTATGCCCTCACACCACTGTCACTTAAGTAGCACCACCATCTAGTGGTTGATTATAGTGTCAAGCAAAACTTGCTGACTTGCAACTTTTGAATCAACATGGATCAACATTAAAAATGACAATTGTAGCAATCCCTTGGATTCGAGAGCCTCGACTGATGTGTTCGGTTCCCTTAAATTCACCACGACAAAGCGATGTATTCAAACAGCATCTTTATTCCGTACACTTTGAAGCGACTCACAACTCCCCACAGCACAGTGAAAACTATTAACACATACAAATGACAAAATTCATAATTCAAGCAGACTCATAAACATGTTGAATTGCATAAAATAAGCATCAAAATGTTTACATTGCACAACAAAACATGCATTCATACATGTATTACAATCAACATACCTCGCTACGCTCACCAAGGAATGCAAATCAAATATGATAATCCTTTCGTCATCATCGGACACGTGTCAAGTTCACTTCAAAATGATGCAAAGTATAAAATCCACATTAAAACAATGGCTACGTTTACATGCAACCAAATAACCCGTTTGTAATTGGATTGATGGCTCAATCGAACTGAAAAGCCTTCATGTAAACACGTTAATCGATACGACTGAGCCCGATCGGAATTAAATTTCGATCGGATTGAAGGGGGTGGTTTATTCCTTTTCTAATACGATTAAGAGTGTATGTAAACACTCAATCGGATTGAACCCCGAAACTGAAAGCACTGCGCATGTGCAATGACGCAGAAATAGCGTAATGACGTATGACGCGCAGAACGAGCGGTTCTTCCTTTTGAATAAAGTGTTGTATAAATGCGTGTCCTGTCATTATAAAACTCTCCTTTCACTCGGCAACTGTGAAGTGGAGCAGGACAACCTCCCACCAGTCCTTGTTTTGGATTCTCATCCACAGGCAACCCGTTTTGGGAGCGGGGAGGGGCATTTTTACTGTGTGATAAATATGAGCAGCACGGCACAGCGGTTTATATGTAATATGTATCCATGTATGGATAAATATACATATAAACCGCTGTGCGGTGCTGTAGGAGAGTGGTTATTATGTGCAAACAGTGAGAAACTCTATATTTGTGCAGTGTGCGCATGTCAAAAAAAATTAATTCCGATTTGAAGCTTGTGACATATAAACACGCACATCAACCCGATCACTTTATTTAGCGTTCATGTAAAC